TCCGTAGCGGCTACAACAACAACAACGACAACAACAACAACAACAACAACATCAACAACAGCAGCCCCTCAACCCTGAACCCTGAACCCCAAATCCTAAACAATTCCAAGGGTGGCCCTCCTGGAGCATGCACTGCGGCTGTGCGGAGGTGCCTGCTGGCCTCGAAGCTCTTGGATGCTTCAGAGGGCCAAGAGCTTCACGGGATTCTAGGCCGGCGATACCCGGCAAGAAATTGAATTTTCGGGTTGGCAGTGTACGCGCCTTGACAAAAAGCTGGCTGAAACTCAACCCGCCTCTCGAGATTCCTCCATACAATCCAGGCTATTTTTTGGGCATGGAATCTACTTCTTCCCGAGTTTGCTGAGGCGTCCTTCGGGCCCATCCCAGACCCGGAACCGAAGCCAAGAGAGGACATGTCGATCCGGAGCCCTCCTGGCCCCCCCTTGGCGTCTCTCCGTCAGATCCCTTGGGAAAGTCGCGGAAGCCCAAGAACTCCTGAGCCCCAGTCACATCGCTCGCGCAGTTGAAGGTGCTGGCTTCGCATCTGGGCGAGCAGGTGTACCTGCAGAGATTAGGGTTTAGGATTTAGGGGTTTAGGGGTTTGGGGGCTTAGGGTTTAGGGCCGAGATCATCACCAGGAACGGCAGGTGCTAGGATGACAGAGCGGTTACAAAGAAGCTCAAAGGCATGCAGAAACTTCATCTGGCTGAAGAGCCGTTGATTCAACATCCTGGATTCCGGCCCGAATCCGAAACACTCTCGAAACCCTAAACCCTAAACCCTTATTCCTAAACCCTAAACCCTAAATCGGTTTAGGGTTTAGGGTTTAGGGTTTAGGCTCAAACCCTGAATGCAGACGCGGTGGGGTCACCCCGAAAGGCCAAGGACTTCTCCCTGGACCTCATCGTGCTGACCTGTGTCAGCCAATTTTCATGAAAGAACTGAGACTGATTCTGCGATGCAACAGCAACTCGAATGAGTTGAACGTGAAGGGCATTTTGAAAGCCTGTTGCAGCTACCTGGGGCTGCGACACGGAGGCTGCTCGTAGTGGGATATGGCAGACAGGCGGCCCAATCTGCGCAATTTCCAAACTCTGTCTGCTGTTTGTAGCTGCAGGCTGGGTCTTGCGGGAACTGCTTAGCCGGAATCACTGACAAATAGTTAGAATAGGGTTCGGGATTGTATTAAGGAACCCCCAAAACCCTGTTCTAATTATTACGGCCCCTACATTTATCCAGCTTCCCTACCCCCAAACCCCTAAACCCCTAAATAACCTAAACCCTAAA